GATAACCAAGAAAGAACTGATAGGAAGCAAAGGGAGAACACAACTGAGCTAAGACAATGAATGTCATAATATTCAGAGTCTGAAGTAACTTTCTCACAAAAAAAACCATCCCTGTCTGAATTTGCAATGGAGAAATATTTTTGCAGTTCAGCATGCTGTATTAACTTGAATTTGGAGGGAAGGGGGAAAGAAGGTTAATAGCCACATTAATGCTATAGACTGGAAGATACCATCTTACCACTACCACTAGAAATTTGGATTTCTAATTGAAGCATACCATTCTTGGCTTCCTTAAAAACTACAACTACACATCATTACTCATAGTGCAACAAACATAATTTTAAGTCTTGCAGACCAGTGATTCTCAAACTAAAGAGCACAGAAATCTCCAGGACATATTTTGCTACCACCAGCTTGTATCCTTTCTGCTCACCCCTTATGGTTTTCAAATGTTAGAAGTGGGATTACCTGCACAAAACTGTTCAAGATGACTTAGCTTCCCAACAAAGGTAGAACAAGGAACTGCAGCAAATCAAAGCCCCCAGAAACTATGTGGATGTTTTTGCTCTGAGCAGCAGACAAAATGCAGAGTAATTCTATCCCTACCCTGACAGACATTGTAATCCTCCAAGTCTAAAATTCACAGACCCTGCTACTACCTCTGTTTATCCAATCTTTAAAGGCATTCACTTCCACTGTCTCTTCCTTTACTCCTGTCACATACATGTATCTGTACAGGCATAGTATACCGTTCTCTTGCATACAAAGCTGGTAGGAAGAGAGGTGAGTACATGGAATTGTGAGCATGTCTTCAGGTACCTAAGCACATTTCTGCAAATGCATATATTTACAGAATTAAATACTTACATATTCAGCATCCACAAAATACAGAGCGAGGAAGGGGAGTATCATCTAAAGGTTGATTATTACTGCACTCTTAGCTGAATATATACTTTATTCTTTCAGTCTTGCTTTCTGCAAGAAAACCTGTGAAAGTTCTTTTCCTCTACAGAAAGAGAACTGCTCATTCAATGGACATTTTTATGAATTTGGTAACATCCCACAGATTAATTGAATCACAGTGCATGAATATAGTACATATGCAGTAGATCTGAACACTGACTTAAAGATTTCCTCCATCCTCCCAATTTTTCTATATGACTGGCATCTGTAATGAGCAATTAGAATTCTTTATACAAGCACAGTTGACTGTTTAAAGCCAGATAACCTTAGCCATATACTTCAGTTTTCCTTTTCCCACAGAGCTGCATGTTAAAATAAGAACATAAGTAACAAAGAAAGTCAGTGCAGCTCTAGATTTTTTTATTTTTTTTAAATAAGACCTACTGTCTTTAATGCTCAATACAAGGCCATTTTGAAACTTTTCAAGCTTCAGAAAGATAAATCAAACATAATTTGTGATATTGTGAGTTAGAAGAAAAAAATTTGAGACTTATTTAATATTGTTGCTAGTTGTAAATACACTAGTTGTAAATAACAACCTTAAACAGCTGATCCAAGGCATACTCCAAACCAAGCTTCTTCCAGTCTAGCATTTAACACTGTATGAAACCTTACTGTTGCATTGCAAAGACTCAAATACCAACATTCCTTATCAGCACTACCAGATTGACTGTAGGAAATAAGCCTACATTTTAAAAATAACAGTATTTGAATGTTTATAAATTACATTGACAGACAGTAATTATCCATACATTTTGCCAATCTTGCACAGGATCTTCACTATCGAAAGTAACCACTGAAAAGTGCTGTTACAGTATGAATTTACTACCCCATTCTTTGTATTTCCCCCCCATGGGTGAAAACAAGCACAAAGTAAATTAAAACTACACAAATTAGAGGCAAAAAACAACTGTGTTTCTTGCACATGATTTACTGCTCTTACTACAGCACAACTACTCATAGCCTGTGGACTGTTACTTAAATGCAATGTTTTACTTATTCTGAGCAGCACTTCCATTAAGTGAAATGGAAATCAAAGCAAGACACCAGGGAAGTGTGACACACTCACATGCTGTAAAGCAATTAAATTCAGAAAAGCATAAGGACAGCCTACCAGAAGTCTTACTGAACAGGGGAAAACCTCAATTCTCTTTTGGCCCCCAAAAGTGGAAGAGTGGCTCTGTTTTTCAGCGAACCACTTTTTCTCAACAGGTCAAAGCTCACTTAGTTCAACCTACCCCACTGAGTCCCCCAAATACTTTATGGGACTACCTATCCTTATACATCTTCTATTACCTCGAGCTAGCCAGTCACATGTTTTACAACATCAGTCCCAAACTCTGAAAACAACACCTCATAAGTCTTACCAAAAGAGATAAACACCATGATTAAGAAATAAATGTGCTTACTGTTCTTGAATCAGAGAAAGGATTGTACTCATCTAGCCCTGGAGGAACGTTTCTTGTCACTTGTGTAACAGAAGGATCCTAGAAGAGAAAACAGTTCTGTAAATGTATGCACATGTATACAAGCAACAGGTCAACAACTGATGTATTGACTTGTGTAATTTTTTTCCTCCAGTGAACCACACAGTAAGATTGCTTGAGGTTTAGCTTGAAAAAGCAATTTCAGGAATGAAGCATTTAATGTGCGATAGAGACAGGCAGGCTTGGTTCTGCAGAAGAGCAGAAGTGCCCGCTACATAGACCACACTAACTTCGTATGAAGAAAAATAGTAGTTATTCTATGTGATGCTTGGTTCCACTACATTGTTTCTGTGCCTTAATTTAAGGTTTTTTGCATCTTCAGAACACAAGAATGGATGAGAGGAAGGTTTTCTTGAAAATTAATAAATCCACTTATTCAATATGGTTAGTTACATTTATCTTTACATAAATGCATAAAACAAGTGTACAGTATTTTATATGTATATCAAATATACAAAATAGCTGTAAATATACTATTTACTTATTTATGACTTACGTACAGATATACACATTTTGTTAATTTCAGCAGTATAGTTCCACATTAGAAAAAAAATAGAGTTGATAAAGACTGGGAAGATAAGTATTTACAGTTATATAAGTTTGCATTCATATTTCCTTTAAAGACAGCTATATTTAAAACTTCTACATGAAGTATTTGTCTAATTTAAAAAATAAACCAAACTAAACACTAAGTGACAATCTACACTTAAGTAAATATACAAACTATTAAACTACTGAAAAATAAAATCTGGATTCTTAGAATCAGCACCTAATACGGCATTAGCTTAGTCTTGACAGCAGTAAATCTACAAATGCAGGAACAATATTTTCTTAATGACTGCAGTCAACTTATTTACAGCTAGAAAAAAAGAACAGGGCAGAATACCTATCAACTCTAAAATCCTGAAGGATACAGCAAATGAGAACAAGTCTGTTTTTTCCATTAGCTATAGTAATAAATTTATTAATATGAGGCATTAAAAGAATTTTACTATTTAAAAAAGTGTAAGGCGAGAAAATAATTGCTTCAAAAATTAAACAATTATATGTTGCATATTTTAATCAAATTCATGTGCATAAGCATACCTAAAAACTACCCTTCTGGTCACATAAAATGCTACCACTTTTGGCTAAAGCATACACTTAGCTGCAAAGCAGTACTTTAATGTTGTCTGAACAAGAATCGCCCTTTCTATAAATGTATACAAAACAATGTTACATGCAATCAAAATCAGCTTTCCTGCATTTGACTTGTACCACAACTAGTGATTTCAATAAAGCCACCCTGGTGACAGTCTCCCCCACAAGTGTGCCATATTTTTTAGTTACCATCCTAGACTTCAACGCACTTTTCCAACTAAAATCTCATCATGTCTTGCATAAGCTGATGGACTAATTCATTGTAACATGTTCTTTCATTAAATGACTGGCACAAAATGTTGTGCAAATGAACAACAAAAACAAGGGAAAGTGTGTGTGTATGTGGAGAATTCAACTACAAATCATTTGAAACATTGAATAAAAAGATCATAAAAATAAGGGAAGAATTAAATCTGACATTTGAATTAGGCATTAGTTTACTAGATCAATAAAGATGAACTTAATACAAATGAGACAATTTCATAATTCAATATACAAGATGGTAGAAAGTTGTATACAGCTGAAAACTTTTAACTCACTGTGGTGGGTCCACCCTAGCCAGCAGCTAAGCCCCCACCTAGTCGCTCACTCACTAGCGGGACAGGGCAGACAATCAAAAGGGCCAAAGCAAGTAAAACTTGTGGGTCTTGAGAAAAAGACAGTGTAATAAGGGGGGAGGAGAGGAAGAGGGAAAAAAGGGAAAAAAAAAGGCAACAAAAACCCACAAGTGATGGAAAGGCACTCACTCACCAACTCCCACCAGCAGCGAGATGCCCAGCCAGCCTCTGAGCAATGGTTACCTTGGAACATCCCCACCACCAATGTTATTGCTAAGCGTGACACTACATGGTATGGAGTACCTCTTTGGTCAGCTGGGGTCAGCTGTCCTGCCTGCATCCCCTCCCAACCTCCCGCCCAACCCCAGCCTACTCCCAAGGGAAAGCAGAGTGCGAAACAGAGAAGGCCTTGATGCTGTGCAAGCACTGTTCAGTAACAGCTGAAACACTGGTGGCTTAACCAGCACTGTTTTAGTCACAAATCTGAAACACAGCACCATGGGAACCACTATGAAAAAAATTAACTCCATCCTAGCCAGACCCAGTACACTTGTTCTAGCCTTTACATGTTAGTGTGAATTAGCAGAGTATAAAACACTCTATTCTTTGTTCATGCTTTCAGTATGGTATTCCTTCCACAAATGCTCTCGTATCATTCCCTCTTCCACCATAAAAATGTTCAAGTTCAGACACATATGAAACTAGTAAGAGCTACCCATCAACCACATAGTAAAACAATATGCCTACATTACCAGAATTCAAATAGCACTTAGTACTTCAAGTTGAATTAGTTGCTTAAAAAGTAGATTTCAACACTAAACTTCTGTTTGAAGAGTGCACTACTAACCAAGTAACTCAGCTCAATTCTGTCATGAAGGACAATAAATGCAATTATATGAATAACTAGAATATCAGACTCATAAGACAGACACTGAACAGCAGCAGATTTCCAGAAAGAAGGAAAGAGTCAGAGATAAGGAAAGAGTTGTCAAGTCAAATTCAGAAGAGCAATCTATATTTAGAAATACAACATGCAAACAATAACAAATATCTAATGAAAGAAAGCCTTTTTTCTCCAAGTGTTTTAGACAAGACCTAGGGAAAAAAGTTTCTCAGCTCTCTTCACACACTGTGTGAAGCTATGGTGACATTCTAACACCAACAAATGACAGGAAATATATGCTGAGCCAAACAAGATTACTACATCAAAAGTCTTAGTACTAGACATAAGTTGTATGCTTAAATACACACAGTGAGTAGAGCAAGAAGCCCTCCATCAGAAGTCTTCCATTCTCATTTTGAATTAATAATTGCTATACTTCTGCCAAATACTGCTGCTGTTTGCAAAAGTAGCAGCAGCTCTGAAAGAAACTGAATAACTCAGAGGACATACAGTATCAGGTCTATTTGAGAAAAGTTTCATTACGTAGCCAAAAAAAAAAAACCAACCAAAACCACAGTTGTATTGAAATACACAAATTGAACCCCACCATGGCAAGTAGCATGCAAATTCTGCTCTCAGAAAACCTTAATTACACAGTCTGGACTTCAATAGAAGTTCATCACCTGATCAATTCCACAAGCAGAAAGACTCAAGGAGCAGTAAACCTGAGATCACAGGAAAAGAGCAACCTCATAGCTGAAGGAGGCAAGTACTAGCCTGGAGATCTGTATCTTTTCTATACTTGTTCACTGAGATCTTCTCTAATGCTAGAACTATCCTCAGCATGGAAAGAAACAAGCTCTTCATAGTCTGGGTGTCCAGGTGTAGGCTGCTAGACTTCAAATTGGTCTGAATACGTACAGTGCATCCACCAACTGATGCCAACAGGAGCTGCACTTGATATTTCAAAACACTACCTAGAGTTTTTCTGAAGAGATTAGACCTGACATCCCAAGGAACACAAAGGATTACTTTGAATCATTTACCTTACACTCATTGGATCTCATTTTAAAAATGGAGCAGATGCCAACTCATCTAAATATAGTGAGAAAAACTGTGAAGCATTCGGACTCACTGCTGCATAATAATAAAACATTGAATTTAGAAGTTAATCGAGGTTTGAATAATGAACACGAACAATAAATGTTGTGCAGGGTCACTACTCAAAGAAAAAGTGGCATTTAAATAAATGCTATCAAATTTCTGTGTTGCATGACATATTTCTAGTGGTTAAAAAACAGTGAAAACTTTAATATTCTACAGGAATAAATAAATCTAGGCTGGCATAACTTATTTATCCGTATTTGATATTCCACCCAGATAATAAAGTTAAAATGCATTATTTTTTAGTTATTTTTGGGTTTTCATATTAAGAAACAGAAAAAAGCCACAAAGACAAATTCCAATAGGTGATAATATATGGACACCAAAACAAAGCAGCAGCATGGCTGGAACCATCAAATATCCAGACACTTCAACTTGCTGTATAATTTAAGTGATTAAAAATTGGGTTACCCTCTGCAAATACAGAAGATTGGGAATTTCTGGGACAGACTTTAAATACCTGATGCCACCCACTGAATGCAGCAACCGTACAATGTCCAATCTAATCTCAGATTGGCCCTCAAGCACCACTACTTCTGCCCGAATTGGACCTGCCCTTGTACTTACCCCTCGCCACAACCGGATTTCCTCAGCCACCTAGCCAGTCCCAGTCCGTGCTCCTTTGAGTGCCGATTCCTGTAATTCTCATCTTGTCCAACTCCTTGTTCCCTCCTTCCATTTCACACTTCCTTCTCCAATCTTATCTCACCCAAACACCTGCCAGTTCAGCCCCCTGAGTTTCTGATCTTTTGATTTAACTATTAGTGATACCAACCACAGAACAGAATTTAAGAAAAGGCCATTTTTTGTATCCAGCTACTGTAGCTCTTGGTGCATTTAAGTCACACACAGTCATTTCAGATGACATTTTCAAGATATGAATTAGTTCAGGAGACTGGAATTTTAAGAAACCAGCACAATTTAATTAACTGTTTTCCATCTAATCTTTCATTTTACCTGCTTCTTGTAGTCTCTCTCCTACAATGTCAATCTCAAAAGCAAAGATTAGCCTCACACTCTTTGAATCACTAGGACTCAGGTACAAGAAGCACCGCAGTATTTACATCAAGAATGGAAAAGTCAGTCAGGAAAAAAACCAAACCCAAACAAATGAAACAAAAAACAGAAAACACAACACATTTATATCTCACATTGGCAAGAGCACCTATAGAACTATCAAAAACGTCTCCTGTGCCAGGTTAAAAAATTACGCTCACATTACTCAGATATGAAATTAACTGAATACCCCATTATCAAAGAGGCT